CACACACACACACACACACACACACACACACACACACACACACACATTTTTTCAACATCATCAGTATACTAGTCATCATCACCCTTTTTTTTTTCTTTTTTTTTATCAACACCGGGGGTGGGCGCCGGGTCCAAACCCCCCTGTCCCATCCCTCCCCTCATAGGCCTGTATTAAGGACCCCATTTGCCGTTTACAGACCCCGTTAAAAAACATGGTCCTAGAACGGCCAATCCCCCATTTCGGGTGACAACCCACCCTGCCCTCTCTCTCTCTTTCTCTCTCTCTCTCTCTCTCTCTCTCTCTCTCTCTCTCTCTCTCTCTCTTTCTCCCCCCAACACAGACATGAAATCAAAGAAACAAGAAATGAGACGAGCACACGTGGCTCCAGGTCACGCGCGTAGGCCCGTTGGTTCTGTACTCTGAGTGTGGATGTCATCCAGTGTGGCAAGCCTAGTCTCCTAATCCCCAGAAGATCATTGACAAGAAGAGGAGGGGGGGGGGGATAGGGTAGTACATGGCGGGGATTCGTGCCGCGTAGGAATGAGAAAGTAGACACAGTACATGGAGGGGTGCCGATGGGGAGGGTTGGGTGGGAGTGGGGGTAAGTAGCGGTCCATCCCTTCCACTGTCACTGGAAGCTTCTCATAGCGGATGATCCGGTGAAAGCGGGGAAATCGATCGCGAGGGAGGGAGGCGAGGTAGTCAGGGTAGAGGGTGGAGAAAGTGCGGAAGAGCGCCGTGGGAAATAGCTCGTGATGGCAGCAGGCGGGGATGGTTCTTGTGATTACGCAGTAGACTTCTACTGCGTTGCTCTGCTCCCACGCGGCACTAAACAAAAGGACATGCAAACAGAACGCGGGGGTTGCACATTGAAGGGAAGGATGGGGATCGACGATGGCGGCGAGGCGCGTGGAGTAGAAGTGATGGAAGGTATTGGGAGGGAAGGGGTTGCGAGTGAAGGTGACGGGGGTAAAGATCTGATGGAGGGTGAGGGAATCAAGGGGACGGCAGGATACTGACCGGGGACGAAGGCCGATCCCCCGCATCGGTACGTGGACGAACTGGGGGACGGGCTGGGGTGGAGGGGGAGGGGGATCGGCTCCGTCTCCGTCGCGATGTGCTCGGAGTTGCGGCCGCAGGGTTGCCATCTTCGGGCTTGGGGGGCTCCGGATCCCGGGTCGGGTCGTCGTTGACGCGCAGGTTCGCCCCCCTGGCGAACTCCAGCTGTTGTTTCCCGGCGGCAATCTCTTCCCGTTTTCGTGCCGCCTCGGGATCTTCCGCCTCTGTGCCTGTGCGTGCCGCTTCTTCCGGCAAGGCTTCCCATTCCGATCTGGCTTCCTTCCTCTTCGTAGTCTTCTTCCTCCTCCTACTCTACACTCTACTCCCCTTCGCTGTACTCACTATAACTTCCTTCTTCCGACATTTCTTCTTCGGCGTCGCCCTCTTCTTCGGTAGCTTCTTCTTCTCCTTCTCCTTCAACTGCCTCCTCATACGTATCTTGCTTCGGATAGAAGGCAAGATCGATGATTCCGTATGGCTTCAAGTACTCCTGCCGCGATGGCAGGGGGCTTTCACTCCCCGGTTCCTCCAAGCACTCAGTCCACTGAAAATACGGTGCCAATGTCCGTGTAAGGACGTGCGGAGCCGGGCCCTCGTCACTTTGCGAAACGATATCGAGGGAGAGGTCGTCGACCAGTTGTGCGAGCGGGACGACGAGTTCCTAGGCAATTAGCTGGCGATGGCCCGACCACACCGATCCGAAGAGAAAACCGAGAAGATCGCCCTCTACGTCTGTTCTCCAAGCCTGGATAATCAACAACTCCAGGTACTCAATCCACGCATGGTGCTCGTCGGTCAGCGTCCACGTCACCTCCACTCGGGCCAAGCACACAGACAAATCGGCAAAAGTCTCACGCCACGCCCTCCAATGCCTGGGATCGAGGAGCGGAACGGCAAGGGGCTCGAGCAAGAAGGAAAGGCGAGGGTGAAGATCGGATTGCTAGAAGGTGGGGAAAAGAGAGGGAAAACCGAAGTTGGAGAGAGGAGCGAGAGGAGCGGCACGGTTTATTGGTGGCGTTGGAAGGGGATGAGTGCGGGGAACACAATCACCGGCTAGCGCGTAGAGGTGCGGATCTCGTCGAAGTCAGTCCCGTACGTCGGGACGAGGTTGTACTCGGGGCACGCAAAACCGTGATGCTACTCAACCGATAACTGCTGCGTCCACTCTCGTAATGAGGTCAAGATCGAGGTATGCCGAAGCGAGCTGACCACGCTGATATCGCCGCTGAAGGCCGCGACCATGGTGACGTGGCTCGTTCCTGGAGCCGCCCGCCGATGAAATGCCACCACCTCTGCCAATACTACTGCCTGCGGACTTCGACGAATCGGAACGCAGCGGCGGCACACAAACCCTCGGTGCAGAAGAACTGCGTAAATCGTCGAAGATCAAGACTGAGCTGTGGATGACGAACTTGTCGGATCCCTAAGATGTAGCCAGGTGGCTACAACAGATGATTAACAAGAGCTTGCTCCATGATGAAACTCATGGCGAGTACGGAGAAGAAGATGAGAGATGGGAACACGAGGGAGAGAACGAGGCGGGAACTAGATCGTCGTTGTCCTCGTCTTCAGCAGATGAGGGAGACGAACAGAGATCAAAAGGAGGGAGGGGACAAATATAAGAGATATGGCGGACGATGGGGACAGTGCTATGGTTGGCGCTGGCCTCAGGCGCAATTCGCACCGTGTTGGCGCCGTTAGGTCCAAGCTCGACAACGCAAAAGCAGCCAGAGAACTTGGGAGCGAGTTTCTGGTCGCGTGCACATTTACGTACCTACACCAGGTCCCCTAGTTTATATTGATGTTGGGGACCGGCGTTTCCATTTCGGGCCTCGTAGCTACGGACCTGCCTCCCGTGGGCTAGATCAGTCATTTTCTGTTTCTTTCGGGCTAGCTTCGGGACGACCCTTTCCATTAAATCGGCGTACCTTTTGGCCTTGGCCTTAAGGGCGGCACGCGTGTCTTTACCCACTGCTTCGGCAATTTCCGAGTTGCCCCGATAATAGACACACGAGAGGCTATTGGTGCGAAGCTGAGAGGGGGTAAACCTCGTGGATTCGTGGGGGATGACCCGGTGAATTCCGACGATTCGGTATACGATCTCGGGTCACGGACGCGTGTCATGCGCCGCTAGATTTCTACAAAGGGCAGTCTTAATCATACGATTGGCATTTTCGGCCAACCCGTTCGACTGGGAAACGTGGGGTGCCGTGTGTCGAAGCGCAATGCTTCGGCACGCGAGCAATTCCTCTACCTCGCCTTTGAATTCGGACCCGTTGTCAGTTAGAATCTCTTTCGTATCTAGGTGGGTATGGAGGAACCGATCGATGTACGTGGCTATTTCTGCGGCCTTACGGGTTTTGCAGGGGTAGACCTCGATGTATTTGGAAAAATTATTTATTAAAACTAAAAGGATGAAATATTCGCAACGGTTTGGGCCAGGTGGCACGTCGATATCTGTCGTGTCAATACAGACTCGCTGGAAAGGCCGCTCTACTTTCGTTGGTACTATCGTGTTTGGTCCCCGTATTGGGGCACGATCGGCGGCACAGACCAGACAGTTAGCGACCACGTATCTAACATCGTCCCGTATATTAGACCAGAACCATCGATTATGATCTATAGTTGCTTCAGTGACACGTATTGCCAAGTGAGCGCCTTGCGCTTCGTGAGTAGATCAGGTCCAATCATATCTCTCGAATGGATGAGAAACCGTCAACCATAAACCCGTTCCGCTAGTTTTACGCTTTTTCAAGTGACCGTTGATCGATCGGTAACCCCGGGACCTCTCGATAGCCCAACGTCTTTCGTGCTTAGTGAGATGATCCAATGGTAAACCAGCCAATTTACCTAATAGAATTTTATCCGTCCAGACCTCCGCTCGTCGGTATTTCTCGTCATATTCATGGTCGTCCGTTCGGGCAGCCTCGAATCGAACCTCGGTAGGGAGTTTGTTCGTTCTACACAGAGGGCACTTCCATTCTTTACTATTCGTTCGGTATCGAACACATGCACCGTACGCACGATTGACACACGTGGCACAACCCACCCAATCAATGAATCCGGTCTCAAAAGGACGACAGTCCACCCCATAAACCCGTTTAATACACGTACAAAAATAGCATAATTTATCATGAAGGGTGGCAAAGAAGGCCGAGGAGGTGAGAGGGGCGGAATCAACAGGCGAAGAAGGGGTCGCAGAGACAAGTGGGGTATCCATGATGACAGGGAAGGAGAGAGAGAGAGAGAGCAGGGCTGCAGAGAGGGTAGGGCAAAGACCCCGTGTCACTCACTCCTTCGACAAAATTTCCACTTGCCCGTACCGTGGTCCGTTCTCATCCTTCGGCTCGTTCCACGGAATCACCTCCTCGCTCTTGGGGACCTTCTCGAGTCGGTGCAATCGTATCAACCCGCCAGCATTCCCGTGCCTCTCGTGCTTCCAATGACGAATGTCAAAGTCCATGCTTTGCAGCACCGTTGCCCATCCCCCGATCATGCCCGAGTAATCCTTAAATTTCTTCAAGACTAATAATGGCTCATGAACGGTCACCAGCATGAACTTCCGCCCATACAGGTAGGCTTGAAAGTGACTGATTCCCCACAGACCTGCATAGCATTCTCTTGTCGGAGTGGCGTAATTGCGCTTGCAGGCAGGCACTGACTTAGACGCGTATTCCACCACGTATTCGAGCCCGCTCGGTCCCACCTGGGCCAAGATCGCCAAAATTGCCTCCAGTTGTCAGTCCGTGATGAGGACAAAAGGCTTTTCGGGATCCGACCTTATAAGGACCGGTGCCGAAATAAAAGTTGCCTTGAGTTTCGAAAACGCTTAATCACACTTCGGCGTCCAAATCAACGGTTGATCCTTTCTCACTAGATTCGTGAGGGGACCCGCAATCGCCGTGAAACCCTTGATAAACCTTCGGTAGTACGAGGCCAGGCCCAGAAAAGCGCGAACTTGCGTGATAGTCGTGGGTATAGGCAGATCTCTCACAGCTGTCACCTTTTGCGGTTCCGGTCTGAGTCCCTGGTTTGTCACCACGTGTCCCAGGAAGGAAATGGTGGTGAGGAAGAACTGACATTTTTCAAGTGCTACCTTGAAACCGGCATCCCTCAATGCATGCAGCGTCCATTCGATGTGTTGCACATGCCCCTCGTAAGAACTCGAGTACACCAGAATATCATCCATGTACACAATCACGTAATAGTTAACGACACACTTTGCCAGATATGTCTTCCGCACAAAGTTTTGAAAAGTTGTGTTTATGGCTCGCTGAAAGGTTGCTGGAGCATTGCAGATGCCCATTGGACATCGAATCCATTGCCAAGTACCTTCGAACAACACAAACGTCATTTTCGGACGGTCCTCCTCTCGAACAAGAAGATGATGAAACCCATGACGAACATCAAACTTACTGAAAAATCGAGCACTCCCAATTGCATCCAACAACTCATCAATCCGGGGAAGGGGGTACACATCTTTGATCGTGATATTGTTCAGCTTCCGATAATCGATACATATGAGAGTCCCTCCGGCCTTTTTGGGCATGATTACCACAGGAAACGACCAAGGTCCTATAGCGGGTTCGATGGATCCATTAGCTTCGAATTCCTTAATTCGTTGAAACGAGGCTGCTCGTTGGGCTGATGAGTATCGGTAAGGAACGCAGCTTATGGGCAAATGATCCCCCGTAAAGATGACATGTTCAATCACGTTAGACCGTCCGATATCAGTATCGTGCACACTTAATACCTCTTCGTACCCATTCAAGACGTTAATCGGTGATTTTCAAAATTTTAGGGGGACGTGATTCGGTAGAGTGACTGTCGGTCGATTGGGTATCCCAAGGGGGATGTCGATCCAATCAGCAGGCCGATTCCGTCGGTCATGGACACTAGAGAAAATAGAGCTGCTAGTGCGGACAGAAAATACAGTCGCAATCATCTGGTATTCCGCAGGGCTAATCATCTCGGTCTCTTTAACTTCGGCGTCAGTTTTCGAATCAGCCGTAGTTTCTTCCACGGTTAGTCTTGCTAAATCCACCATTTCCTGCATTAGATCGGCTTCTCGTTTTATCAGAGCGATGGTCGCTCCTGTTGTAAGCAGAGACCTTGGAGGGGAAGCAGAAACATCCAGGTATTGTTTCACCTATTGATAGCGCGCTCGAAGGGAAAGCGTTCCCTCGTACAAGGTGCGAGGGGGTTCCAAGTCGTTTGCTAGGTCAGATATTTGTAAGATGGGTTCCCCGAGAAAGGTCGAGGAACTGACTTGGGCTCCCATAGCCGCGAGCGTGTTATCTTCCAGACTCAAGTGGAAAGTTTGTGTGGTTTTGGGAACCATCCGAAATTCCTCTGGAATTTCGTGCTCGAAAAGTTCGACTAAGTGTTTCCACTCACTTTCACTAGGCATCTTTTCTTCGCACTCCTGCTCTTCGAATCCGCTACTATCATCCGGAGATGGAAATTCCTCGTGATCGCGACCTTGAATCATCCCTATCGGAGCAGAATCAGGATTTCTTTTGACTGCTTGGGTGCAAATCCGCAACGGAACTGTCTGAGGCTTTCCACCTGTTTGCGTAAGCACCAACTCTTTGGAATCGAAATGCATGCGAGCACCTTCGGTCATTGCCCAAGGCAATCCCAACAACACCGAATATGAGTGCGCATCTATGACCAGGGCGTTAACGAGGACGTGTACTCGTCTAACTTTCACGGCCACATTCTCAATGACTCCTACGATATTCATTGCTTCCTCGTCAGCAGAGACGTAGTTGTCTTTGCCAGATTGAGGGAGAATCGAGTTGAGTTGTCCCGTTCGTTTCACCGTATCTAATGATACAGCGACCGCAAAGGACCCAGTATCGATGAGGGCGTTAAAAGGTTTGCCCCATACTTCACAATCACATTCAGCACTTTTCCACAGCACTGGTCGAGCTCGCATGAAATGATCTTTCTCAGCTAAAGAAATCGTAGCTACTCGCGCTGCTTCGGGTTCAGCAACCTCAGGTTCAGGCGGTGCAACACCCTCTGCTCCTTCTTCCTTCTTTTTCTTCAACATTCGTTGTAAACGCTAGTATGTAAAGAGCTTTTGATTCTTCTGACATTGTTGCAGCAACTTGTCATTTGCAGCTTCGGATATGGTGAGCAAATGTCTCATTGGGACCGGAACGCGAATGTCTAGTTGCTTAAGCGTTCGTAGTACATCAATTTCTCATGTCCGGAACTGTGGCCTGTGGTTAGATTCGCGCTCGACCCATTCAAGATCGTCATGAGCCGGTCAGATTTCTCCGACCATGCCGGCGAGATGAAGGTATTTGGCCGGATCAACCACGTCAGCGGCTTCGGAAGAAGAAGTCCCCGAGGTCGATGCAACTGCAATTGAGGTGGAAGGCCGCTCAGGGGCGTAAGCGATGATCCCCTCATCTCGGGCCGTATCCATTAGTGCAGCTACTCGTCCTTGATTCAAAGCTACGGGGGCTGCGGCAGGTGGGGGCTGATTTCGTTTTGGCTGCGGGCAGTCCCGGACGAAATGCTCGGGCTGTTTGCAATTGTAACACTCAATCCTCCCAGCTAAGTTAGCGGCATGAGGGGGCTGCGGTGCATGTGCAGGTGTAGGCGGGGCGGCGAAAAGCGGGAACGATGCAGGGGTAGATCGAGCAGGGGCCGGGCTAGGCTTAATTAGCGTGCTCATAATCTGTTCCATTCGGTTCATGTGAGCCGTCTACATTTGGACCAGATTGCTCATCCATTCAGATTGCTTACTAGTAGCTGTGTGGATCATCTGTGCCAAGTGCATATTTGTTATGGACATAGAGGCAGGATCTTGGGAGCTTCTGGCTTTAACAGTTGCTACCTGTTGGTTCATAGAGAGAGTCGGAGGATGGGGAGAAGGGGCTAGCGGGATATCAGAGGCGAACCCTTCAGGAAGGTCATGATCAGGGCAGGGATAGAATCGTCCTACCGCTCGTAACCACGATCGTCGTTTCGTCGCTACATCCTGAATCGTATTTGTAATATCTTTGTCTCCCTGACTGATATACTTCTTTGTATCCGTCAAGTCTAACTCAAGCGTTCTAGTGATGATAGCGGACAACTAGTTCATTTTCGGGGGAACCTTTTTCTGCAACTTAGCTTTTAGCGTCGGGTTTCATAGATCATCGATGAACAAGTCTCGGGCGGAATTTTCATCTCGCCCGGATTTGTCCAACGTACTTTGGAATCGATCCACGAAGTCAGGCTACGATTCCCCTAGTTCTTGCGGTCGAGTTTTGAGTACATACCAAGCAGCGTCTTCGCTGACCGTATCAAATCTGGCCAAGAACGCCCGCTTGAAGGTGTTCCAATCTACCCATCTGTGTTTCCTAAACCAATCATGCACCGTGTTGCGAACAGCAATGTGATGACGTGGGGGAGATCTTCCGCGCTATAACCTTGAGCTTGGACGACCTTCAACCAAGCTTCGGGGTGGGTGTGATTGGGAAAGAAAAGATAAGCGGCGGGAATACTAACAATCACCCTAGGGGGTGTTGTATTGCTGTCGGTCATTGGCATAGCTGGTCTAGCCTCACCAGATCTTGATTTGGTCACCGGGCGATCTCGACGAGCAGGTTGAGGACTTCTTCTACCTCTCGCCAACTCGACTTACTATCATCAGAACCGACACGTGTCGGCTCCGATACCAACCTCACGCTCTGTGCTGTCTTCCGTTCAGAGTGCTAAGGGTGCGGAAAGAAGGCCCAGAAAAACAGTAAGATGGGGTGTGCCAAGGATTTTTGGAAAATTGAGTGTGGGAACTGTCACACAGACAAAACTAAAATCCCCCGTGTTGGCCCGATGAAGTAAGTCGGTTGCTTTCGCGCGTTACGGAATGGGCGCACGGGCACGGCGCAAAAAGAGAAAAATCCAAATTTAATAAAAAAAGTATTGTCGAGCTTCCCACCACGCTACGACTCTTCGTTTAGAGCGAAAAGACGTCGGTATACTCCGCGTGTCCTGTTTCCGTATCAAGTTCCGGCGTCGCTCGTTGGTCAGTTCCGAGTCCGACGTGGAGGATCTCAGCCGCGTGGCTCTTTCCTTGTGCTCGTCTTCACTCCATATACGGTAGTGGAAGCCCTTTGATTCGTAGCGATCGAAACGCTGGCACTCAGTGCACAGGGTTTGAGGCCAATGGGGCGCCACTGCCGTCCACGGAATGACGATCAACTCGTTAAATGGCAACAATATTGAGTAAGGCAAGAAGTGCGTATTGACAATGACAAAGCCTGCGTCCACAAATCCAAAGCAACGATTTTCGGGAGGGAAGTAATATTGCTCACCGATCTGTGCGACAGCTTCTCGTATGTCCCACTCGCAAACACGTGTCCTTTCCTTGTTGTAAGGGAAGGGGCGCGTTGGCGTGGGAGATATGGGAGGCTGGTGCCCAATCGAGGTGAGCCCGTCAGTCCATATGTCAATCAGTTGGAATGAGTTTGCAAAAAATCCCGGGACGTCATAAAAAAACACAATCGTAAAAACCCAACTACCATCTTCCTTCCTTTCTGACACGAGGGAAGCATCTTACAGAGCCCGTACAACCATGCAATAATCGGGTTGGAGTTTCGAGGGATCAACCCGCGGCTCAAGTTCAGCAAGCCAGATCGACAAAAATTCGAGGCGCCTAGCTCTTTCGAGGCTGCCCCATAGACTGACTGCAGATGCCGTGCAGTATAAGGCAGATGGCATGCGCAGTGCATTAAGAATGACCGATCTAAACACTCTTGCATTCTCGAACAAAATCCAGTCGAGTTCTCGGTCTAACCAAAACAAAATTCACATACAAGCATTCTCCTTTCTATGCATACATCCACTGTGGAAGGTGCGAAAATGACAATGGTGCATCAACTCTGTCCACAAATCAGAAACAAATCGGGGGATAGTACACACGCATCCACCGTTTACAAGACAAGAGGATTGGGTTCCTTTGCATCGGGGGATAACCCAGGAAAGTATTGGAAGAGTTCCGGAAGAAGTTTTTCTGCGCGGAAAATCACCAGGATTCACTTCTGTTCATAGGAGAGACAGACTCATAACACATCAGCGTTCAGATCAGAGGGAGAAAAAGGGGGGGGGGGGGATATACAAGAAAGGTTGAGACAGGAGACACTGAGATCTGAAAAGAGAATGTTCGGCTTCGCAGCAGTGAACTCACAACAAAGAAAAATGATCCGCAACAGTGAAGGCGCATTCGCCGTGAAATTCTAATATGGCCCTGGACCAATCATCCACTCAACTCTAGTTACCGATCCTCATATCCGCACTTACGATCCCGACCGTCATGTGCTAACTTCCGCCGCTGCGATCATCACCCCGCTGACGCAAACTCGACACGGCTCGCCCGGATCCCACAGTCCGTCGTGGCGATCAAGCGCGCAACCGGCCAGCCTACAGTCAGCCCGTCAAGACTTTTCGACTCGGACCAAACGCATCACCTAGCCACTGCTTCCCGAGAGCTGGCTAGGGAGTTGAAAACGTTAGAGAGATTTGCAGGCGCGCTTGCGGAATTTATAGTTGCGAGGAGGGATGCAGAAGGAAGAGAAGGCGGAGGGGAAATCGAGGCGTAGGAGGAGAAGATTCACCGGAGGGCACTCAAGGGAAACCATGTTGATCCTTAGGAATCCAATGTTCAGCCAATCAGATTCGTCTCGCAATAGGAAAATCCTCTTACTCAACGCGTCTGATTGGTGAACAGGGGTAATGGAGGGATCAACCGGGTTTCGGGAGCCAAGGTTGAAGAGCGAGAAGGAAAGAGGCGCGAGAAGCAGCACAAGAAGGGTCCAAGATTCAGATCATCAAGAAAGGAAAATAGGCGCGCAAAGAGCAGAGAGAGGGAAAACAGTTGCAATAGGAAAGGAATGGGAGGGGGAAGGGAGAGAGAAGAGAGCACGGGGGAAGAAGGACGCGGGAAATGAGGAGGAGGAAGCTCGCATGCGTGGTGCCCGAAAAAAAGAGAAAAAGGCATCAAAACAGTTACAGCTTGCCTATGTCCTAAACCAATCCAAAAATTGAAATCACCATATCCGCGCACGAAAGTTGACGCGGGAAAAGAAAGTCCTATGCCTATCCGTATTCTCGCAAAATTCCTAGAGTTTTCTTTGACGGGACCAAGAACATTCATGCACAAAAGGACGCGTCTAGTTCCACTTATTTCGGAATTCCTAACGGTCGGGCCCGATTCCTAGTGCGCTCGCTGAGGCACGCGCAATTTCCCACGCATTTTCCGAATTACAAAAAGCAGAATTCCAAGAATCAATAGAACTTATGAAAAATGGGGGCCCAAACAAGGCATCCGAAATCAAGGAAAGCGACGGGGGCTTCTTTGGGCCAATATGATACAAAAGAAAGATTTAATCCAAAGGGGTACGAAAGATAGCACGGGGACGTGAAGTGGTTTGTCACAGTCTCGATCCATTCGTCTGTCTAGGGAAAGTCTTCTGAAGAAAAGG